ATGGTATTTTTTTTAACGTTCGCAATACTACAATACACTCTTCTTCTTTTTTGAATTGCTAAATAGTAATTTTCTAATAAAAAAGCTGAGAAAATGATGGATAAAAACAATTAACTTATTATATGCATAGATAATAATGCATGTTATACATATTTAAATTTATTTTATGTTGATAATTAATCTAAATTGACTATTGAATTAATTAATTAATAAGCGAGTTATCGATTATTCTATGGAGACGATTCATTATCCATCTTATCATTTCAAATAGATGCTACATGCTAGATTTTTATTTTATTATCATTTGTGCTATTTTCATGAAAAAAATATTCATGCAAATTTATTATAAGTATTTAAATATAGAAATATAATCATAGGGGTATTATAGTAAATATATAATAATACATTTTCTTTCCTCCCTCTTTTTACAATTATCTAAACAAGAAAAATATATTTTCTTTCCTTTCATTTCTACTCTTATCGAAACAACGAGTGGAAAATAGTTTTCTTTCCTCTTTCTTTTTTTCCCCTCACTCCTTTCCTCTTTTTTGTTTCCTCCCAAGAGAAAATATCCACACAAGGGGTTAATGCAAAATATAATGATGCTATAGACATTAGTACGTATTTTATATAAATAAATATGATAATGGTGATCAAAGATCAAGCAATTGATTTGAGCTTTTGAGTTTTCATCATAAAGGTGAGTTCCCTTTCACACGGAGAGTTCAAATAGTAATTTTTAAAGCGAGATCTAGTAAGACAACTCGATGATTGAGGATTTTGCTAGGATGGTATTTTTTTAACGTTTAAAATAGTTAGATATTTTCAAATTAATTTTTAACTCAATTAAATTATTTTTTTAATTAAACGAGCGATTGAATTAATTTTCTAATTTAACAAACCGAGTTTTTAGGTTTCGAGTTTAAGGTAATTTATAGAGTATATGCTTTATTCTAATCCATGCACCTTACTTCGAATTATTTTGCTTATTTGAATTCATATTTCTTGAAATGTATTGAATCTAAGTTTGTGTTTTGAATAGGTTGCCATGATGAGGACTAGGCCAATTGAGTATGGAGCAGAAGGTGTCAAGGATAAGGCATCATCTAGATCTTCATAGTTTCCTATTAGATCTAAAGATAATAAAGAAGTAGATCCCGTTGTGATGTCCTTAGCCGACATCATAATTGGTTTCTACGTTATGCAACATATAGTAGAGATGATGATTGGGATATCTAGTAAACTTTTTCATACATGGCGGGATTATTTTTTGCCACTTAAAACGTAGGTGAGGCACGCATTTTTGTAATTACTATCCGATCAAAATCAGCAAGGTTTGACATGTATGTTGTTGAATTATTGAAATTAACGTCGTTGACTTATTATGATGATAAGGATGATGAAGATCCGATACACTTTATAGATGAGATAGAGAAAAAAGTTATAGATGAGATGATGAAGATCCGATGCACTTTGAGCTGACAATGTTTATGATTGAGAAAAGTGTTAGTGATTTGTATAAGTAAGACTAGAAACTTGATTAATCTTAGGAGCAATTCAAAAAAGCTTTTCTTGAGGAGTAGCTACCTAAGAGTATCAAGGAAGACATAGTTAAAGAGTCCGAGAGACTAGTGCAAACTTTTGACATGACAGGTGATAGAGTATGAGAGAAGATTTAGAAAATTAAGTCGTTATACTCTAGAGACGATACCTACTAAGGTAAAGAAAGTCAAGAAATTTTTAAATAGACTAGCAAAGTCACTTTTTACAATTGTATTTCCCTAGAAGTTTCGAGTTATTATAAAATAGTTGATTGTGCTCATAAATTTAAAATAAAGAGAATGGAGAGTAAAATAATGAAGGGGTAGAGGAAAAAAGTCAAGAGTGATACCCCGATCAAGATTTACGGGGTTTGTGAGATTGTCCGTTAACATCTTCGAATTGTTTATCTTAAATCGGACACATTAATCATTTGACTCATTTATATTGTAATATTTTAAACTTTTTATTTTCATACTATTATAAGCTCTAAAGCTATACATTATATTTGTAGGAGTTGTATTAGAATATTGGTTATGGATTTTTTTTTGTAAATATACAAGTATTATAGAATTATAATTGTGATGAAATTAAGAAGTATTGGTTAATTAGGTTGTGATATTGTAAATTAGATGGATATTTTGATTACTTCAAGTCTCATAATTATGATTTAGACATTCGAGGCTTGCTTAAGTCGAGGTGGATTCCATGGCTTTCTCGATTCTTATGCTGGTCATGGCCTTCTTCGAGGGTCGTGAAACTTTTATTGTTCTTTTTTTCTTTGTATTATTGCTTTTTCTATCACCTCTTACTGTTTGATCTTTATTTCTGTTCTTGGTCGTTGAATTTGCTTGTTAGATAGAGATAATGTAATCTCTACAACCAATAATTCATTGCCACATTTTCAATCTTATCTCTAAAATTCTACACTCATCAAAATCTAGAGTGTCTTTCTCTCTCTTTCACATACATGATCTTTTTATCTTTCCTATAAATCAAATCTTTCCTAAAAATTCTGTCAAAATTTGATGTTGATGAGGGGTTTTGGCCACTAAAAAAGGGTTCTTCGGAGAACTTTTGAGCCTTAAGAGACAATAGTGTGGTTGTCGGTGAGGTCGTGTGGCTGACGACAATAAGGGGCGTTGGTAGTTGGCGTAGGACTATTAACAGTGAGTTTTGGTGGTTGGAGTTTGATATAAAATAGGGTGTAAGGCTATTGATAGTGGGTTTTGGTGCGAATTTTGGTATGGAAGAGGATAGTGGGTTTTGTTAGTAAAGAGCTTGGGTGGCTAGAGTTTGGTGTTGAAAGGTCGGTGTGGCTATTAGAGTTAGTTAGCTAGTGGTTTATGAGGAAGTAGGGTGTGGCTAAAATTTTAAGGATGATCAGTGACTGTTAGAAAGAAGGATGACAATGGCAAGAATTTAGAGAAGCACAGCAATAGTGTTGTTTTTGGTTTTTTTGATCGATAAGAGGAGAAAGGGCGAACGATGTTTGTGGTGTTGTGGTGGTTTAGCTGGCAACCAGAGGCTACTATTCGTGAATGACATCGAGGAAGAGGGTGGTCGAGGTGGCAGTTGTCGTAGGTGTGGATAGGAATGATATGCGAGAGGAAGAGTGATTTTTATTTTTTTTTTGCTTTCTTGGTCAACTTTTTTTGCACTCACTTGTCACAATTGTGAAATCTTTAGCAGACTATAGTGAATGGATTTACAAGATCACAATACACATGCCAACCACCCCAACCTCAACCACGATCATGACCATCAGCGCCATTAACATGATCATACCCATAACGAATAAGATATTTTATCTTCAATTCATTCTTTTTGTATTTTTATATTGAGGTATATGTTTATATGAGTGTGATTCTTGATGATGGAGCTAGTAGGACAACATAATTATGGATAGGCCTAGATAGAAGGGTGCACCATAGCCATGATGGACTAGCACTACATTCATATGAACCCACGTACTCTCCTGGCTTTTTTAGAAGGGGAGCGCAACCAATCCTTGTAAGGGATTTCAATGAAATAATTTTCACTGTAGTGGCCTTTGTTAGCACTAAATTTTTATCCTTTTTGTTTTAGATATTTTTAAAAAATTAAAAATTAAATGTACTTTGTTAATTTGTTTAACAATATAGAGTTTATGTTTTGCAATTCAAGAGATGTTATTGGTTCACTTTTCGACAATGTAAAATCTTGATCAATAGTTACGATAACTACTTTGATAGAACGTCTGGATACTATTGTACGAGTTCAAATAATAGGCGTGTGAGTATAAGATAAAAAAAATCTTTTGGTTTTTTATTTTATTTATTTATTTATTTTATGTTTTACAATTCAAGAGATGTTATTGGTTCACTTTTCAATAGTTAGGATAGCTATTCAAACGTCTGGATACTATTGTACGAGTTCAAATAATAGGCGTGTGAGTATAAGAAAAAAAAAATCTTGTGGTTTTTTATTTTATTTATTTATTATAATTTTTTTTATGGTGGTTGAGATATTACAAAGGTAAAATTGATTTACAATCACCTAGTCTTCCTATGAAATTTACCGATAAAGTCATCCCTTTGTCTGTTATATACTAGTGTGAAATCTAAACACTTGATAGTTTGAAATCTAAGCATTTCCATTCAACCAAAAAAAAAAAAAAAAATTCCCGTTGTGCAGCACATGTATCAACCTAGTTCTACCTAAAAAAAAGCTGAAGTTATTAAATGAGTTGAATTATTTTATTTGGATTTGGCTTAAGGCAGCGCGAAATATTGATTTATTTGTATTTTTTAAATGTTAAAAAATTGTTATTTTTCTTTCTTGACCAGTGTTGATCTTCTGATCCTTTATTGATTATGGAACTAGAAATAATACAATAACTTTGCACCGACTCTAAACAAAAACTCCCATCATATTGACGGATCCAGATGCTTGACTTACCGACAACTATAGGCTATGTACGTACGTTACTAGGTACAATGTGGACAGTGGAAGACGTGCGTCTTTCTTTCCTTCTGTTTCCATAGGAAATGCTTGATGTTTTAGCTGTAGCAATAGGGGTACTGGTCTTCAATATCTTTTTGGTAAAAAAGCGAGGTTCCAACTCGAGCCTAATCCTAATTCAGCTGCGATTTATTGGCAGTGCTCCTTATTTTTTATCCGATAATTTCAGAGCCAAACAGACAGGGTCCCACTCTACATGGATTCCAGCTGTAAAGAATTGACAACAATTTACAAATTCCTGAAAAATGGCAGTCTAAAAAGGCAAGCCTAGCTAGACACCAGCCGCCTCCAACTGGGCTTTAGATCGCACGCTTACTGCTCAGGAAGCATTCTTTTAAATTTCCTAACATTGCCACTGTGCCTATAGCTGGCAAACCTTCTATATAAACCCTATCAGTGTGTCCATTGCTACATCGTATTGTGTTACATGGTATGCTTCACGCATGTTACTAATTACTATGGATGTGAAAAGTTCCCAATCCATTATCGAAATTGTGATCGAGCAAACAACAATAACATCACCAGACTCTGGCTCTTTGTTCTTCATCAAGCAATCTTTGATATCAATTTTGGCTAAGTTACATGCTGGCTACTTTAGGATTAGCCTTTCTCTATGCAGTCAAGCCTTGCTATGGAAAATCCTTGGAGAATCTGCGGATGATGCTCATGCTCTTAGACGCGTGTTTCGAATGCTACCCTCCACAGCTTTTGTTCTTCTCTGGTCACTGGCCCTCTTCACATTAGCCTCACTCTCTCTTCTTTACATCCTTAGATGTTTGTATCACTTTGAAATGGTGAAGGCTGAGTTCTTGCACCATGTAGGAGTGAACTATCTTTTTGCTCCTTGGATTTCCTGGCTTCTTTTGCTTCAATCATCACCATTTATTACTCCAAAAACCGTGTACTATCTAGTTCTGTGGTGGGTTTTTGTGGTTCCGGTTGTGATTCTTGATGTCAAGATCTATGGCCAGTGGTTTACTAAAGGAAAGAGGTTTTTATCTGCGGCCGCGAATCCGACAAGTCAGCTATCAGTGATAGGGAATTTGGTAGGAGCCCGAGCTGCGGCGGAAATGGGGTGGAGGGAGAGTGCTGTTTGTATGTTCTCTTTGGGCATGGCACATTATCTTGTCCTGTTTGTTACGTTATATCAAAGGTTATCAGGAGGGAACAGCCTGCCTATAATGTTGAGGCCCGTTTTCTTCTTGTTCTTTGCAGCTCCAAGTGTGGCAAGCTTGGCTTGGGACTCCATTTCTGGAAGTTTTGATTACTCATCAAAGATGCTCTTCTTTCTCTCGCTCTTTCTCTTCTTATCCCTGGTAATATATGTGCAGTAATATTTTTTAACTAGGGTCCTTAATTTTCTTCTGAATGAAATCTGCATGGTTAAGCAGAAAAGAAAAATTAAAATTGAATTATACGTATGACCTTTTTGGTGTCAAAAAAAGTATCCATGTAGGGTCCAAAAAGATCTTGTAACATACGTATATAGTGCAACCAGCCGACCAGATCATAAATTCAAGTCTTTTCATATAAAACAAACTTGCGCGCTTTGATTTTCATATAGCATTCACATTTCCACTTTATCAGATGTTTAATAAGCATGTGATCCTTTGCTAATATTGTTGTTCATTTGTCATGTGAAAACAGGTTTCTAGGCCAACCTTATTCAAAAAATCAATGAGGAAGTTCAACGTAGCATGGTGGGCTTATTCTTTTCCTTTGACGGTCCTGGCTCTGGCATCAGTAGATTATGCACAGGAGGTGAAGGGCCTCCTTGCGCATGGAGTAATGCTTGTGCTGTCGTCCCTATCGGTTCTGGTGTCTCTTTCACTAATGGTGTTCACTGCGCTCAATACGAATATGCTGTTCCCAGAAAATGATCCCTGTTTTAAGACCTAAAACTTGACCACATGGAATATTTGGCATCATGGATCTTCTTCAAAATCTAATTTTAGTTTAGCTCATGTTCGTATAAAAAGAGGATGACCAGAAGCAGGACTGATAATTAATATTCCATTCGTGTATTAATTAACTGTAAATTGCAAATGTAAAATAATATAACGATATATTATACTCAGCATCTAGCATCGTATATTATTAATTTCTTGATTCTTTCTTGATTGGCACCAGAGTCTTTCAAAAACTCAATGCCTCAGTACAATATTCCCAGAATCCAAACCAACCATCGCAAATGAGGAGGATTATTAGAAAATGATACCGGAAAAAGGGGCCGGAATTTCGAAGGAAATTTTGGGTACGATGAATGATGGAATTAATGACAAATATGGATGGGTAGATGAAGGATCTATGTGTTCAACCCTTTAAAGATATGGAAAATCACCATTCTAAGGAGGAAGAACAAAGATTAACCTCTCAAATTTCAATGACACAGTCACATCACAAAAATATTAGAGTTCAAAATAACTCATCACTCAATAGAATTCATCAAAAAGATAAATGAAATAAAAATAAACGTAACAAGAATTTTAACTTTAACAAAATTTTTTGTTTTTTTTTTGTTTTTTTTGTTTTAGGGTTACAACATACGTGTATACATAAAACTTACTATGTCGTTTGAAGTTCAACTTACCTACTATAACTAATACAGAAAGCTTGGCCCTATGCTAAACTACTAGTTTGACAAATGAGTGAACAAAAATTATATGTTAATTAGGACGGCTAAGAGACGTCATAGTTCTTCTCATTTACTACTTTAGGGCGCCTAAGTCATATGACTTTTTTAATTTGCTCGGCTTTCTCGTCTTTCCATTAATACTTTTTCAGGTCTTGCATTAGAAAGTAATTCCACATTAAATAATAATTACATAAACACAAAACAATATATATAATAGAATGAAACTCAGCCAAACTGGACAATTATATTGATAGCATTTAATCCTCATGTTTTAAAATTTGTTTATAACTTAGTTATCAAATCATCATTTTTGTATTATTTTTCAATTAATTTTTTTCTTTGTCTAATTATTTATTTATTTTTTATTATTTTTTGAAAAAAAATAGAAGAAAGAAAGGAGAAATAGCAAGATTTGATTAGGAAAAAAAAAAAAAAAGAAGAAGCTTTTTTGGAACAAAGATTTACTAAATTGAGGGAAAATAAAGTTGGTAAAGGAACGGTCAATCTCTTTTTGGTACTACAAAAACTGATTAATTAATTTAGATAAACTATACGAACTAAATTATAATTCACTCAATTTATGTAGCTTGTAACCGGGATTTTGTTTTTGTTCTTATCTTAAGAAGAGAATCCTGTCACCGTGGGTTAATATTCATCGACTGTTCTTTTCTTTTCTTTTCTCTTTGTAAAGACAAAGCCTATATATAGATAGTACACTCATTTTCAATAACTTGAAGATGTCCAACTTTGCGGCAAAATAGGTGATCTTGCGAACCATTAGAGAATCGATAGGGCAGGGTAGGGTAGGGAGAGGATAATTCCAAATCAGTTCCCCCATCAAGAGACTCGGAGAATTAGTGAATGACATAAAAAGTTGAAAAGTATACCGAAAATTGTATTTCTTTGTAGCACAAAAACAACCTCTAAATTATTTTTATAATAGATGTTATGTCTTTGTTACAGATCAAAAATACAAAAATATTAGAGTTCAAAATAACTCATCTCTCAATAGAATTTATCAAAAAGAAACATGAATAAAAATAAACTTAACAAGAATTTTATCTTCAACAAATTATCTTTTTTGTTTTAGGGTTACAACATATATATATATATATTGCTTTGTGTTTATGTAATTATTATTTAATGCGGAATTACTTTCTAATGCAAGAGCTGAAAAATTATTAATGGAAAGAAGTGAAAGCCGAGCAAATTTAAAAAGTCATATGAGTTAGGCGCCCTAAAGTAGTAAATGAGAAAAACTAAGATATCTATTAGCCATCCTAATTAATATATAATTATTATTTTTTCACTCATTGTCAAACTAGTACTTTAGCATAGTGCCAAGCTTTCTGTATTAGCTATAGTAGGTAAGTTGAACTTCAAACGACTTATATATATATATAGAATGAAACTCAGCCAAACTGGACAATTATATTTGATAACATTTAATCCTCATGTTTTAAAATTTGTTTATAACTTAGTTATCAAATCATCATTTTTGTATTATTTTTCAATTTTTAAAAAAAATAAAAGAAGGAAAGGAGAAATAGCAAGATTTGATTAGAAAATTAAAAAAAAAAGATTTTTCGGAACAAAAATTTACTAAATTGAGGGAAAATAAAGTTTGTAAAGAAATATCAATATCTTTTTGGTACTACAAAAACTAATTAATTAATTTAGATAAACTATTACCAAAAAAAAAAAAAAAACTAAAACAAAACCTATAAATACTGTATAAACAACTGTACACACTCAGCATCTCCCAGCCTCTTCTCCGTATGCATGTTTTTTCTTTTTCATTCTCTTTTATTTGTTGCTCACTTCTTTTGTTGTAATAGCATTTGTGCCATTGAGTGTTTTTATGTTACTACTTTTTGGCCCTCTTTTTTGTTGCTTTCCTTGCACCTTTGTTTGTGCTTTATGGACATTTCCTCTTCCTATTTAACAAGGCATTTAATGCTTCTGATCTTGAATTTTCTCCTCTCTTTATCGACAATTTTTTGGTTCATTTGTCTACACCTTTGTTTGTCTTTTTCGAAGGTTTTCTCCTCATTTTTTACATAGAATTTAATGTTTCTGATCTTCAATTTTCTTTTCATCTTTGACGTAGCATTTAAAGCTTTTAATCTTGAATTTTCTGCTCTTGTTCTCGCCTCTCATGTGCAGTTGAAAACTAAAGGTTAAGCTAGTTTGCTATTACCATCTCTATAAAACTAAAAGAATCGAACTTTTTGAACCGTACTGTTCATTACTGTAGCCTTTTTTTTTAATAATTTTTAAATTATTTTATTTTGGTTTTTAAAAATTTAAAATAATAATTTTTATTTCCTAACTGATACACTACACATATATTTTTTTTCTTTGGTTTTTTTCCTTTACTTTTTTCATATATTTAGGTTTTTTTTATTTAATTGACTCGTTAAAATTTTAAAAAATCAATAATAACTTTTTCTCTCACAAACTAACGATTATATGATATATCATTTTATATTTTAAAATTAACATATACTTTAGCTTATATTATTTTTATTATTTAAATTTCATTCTTCAAATTTATCATTTTTTTTATGAAAATTCTCCTTCAATTAATATTTTTTATATAAAATTTTATTTACTATTATTATATAATTTATTTTTCTTTATGTTTGAATTTTAGAATAAAATTTTAAAACATGATTGTTTTTTCTTTTTTTAAAAATAAATTAGTATAATATATATCATGAATTCTTAAAATTTTTAAATGATAGTTGCATATATATTTTATTCTAAAATGTTAAAAGTGTATTTTAAATAATTTATTTCGGTTCACTAGGCATAGTTAAGACGTATAAAAAAATTATTGAATAATTGATTTTATTAAAAATTAACCATACATCTTTCAACACGATACAAATTATTTACTATAAACATTTTTTTGACATTATAAAACCAATTTATTTAGAATAAAATAATTAAATAATTTTTTAAAGGAACCAACCAATTATTCAAATACTGTTTTTTATGTTAATTTCATTGATTATTTTTTAAATAAATATATATAGATTAAATGCATATACTTGAAAAAAATTAATCTTCTCACCAACATTAAATAAGAATCAAAATTTTATTTTTTTCATTGATTAATTTTTATGCAAGTTTATACATTAATTGTAATTTTATTTTTTGGATACATTCTTATAAAAAATATAATTTTAAAGTATTTATTTTTGAATTCTTAATTAATATTTCATATTTAAATCATTACAAATTTTTATTTAAGAATCCCTCAATAACGACGAATAAATAATTTTTTTAAGCAGAAATTTTATGAAAAACATACAAAAAAATAGTAATAATTAAATTAAAAAAATTAATGAAAAAATTATAACATTTTGAAATGATTTTATTCCATTTACTCATAGAATAATAAACCCCTCCCTAAATTCTCTAGCATCAATTTAAAAAAAAAATCTCCAAATTATAAATTAAACAAAAATTTCTCAATAGTTGCATGTAATTTTATGAAATTAAATGAAAAATTTTAACTATAATTATACTAATCGTAATACATTCTGAATGTATAATAAACTATAAATGATCGAATCATATTTATACTCCGCATGAAATTTAGTAAAGTAATAAAACATAATAACAAATTAAATATATAAACGTATTAGATGTGAATATGAAATGAAAAGTAATACTAAAAATATGATATAAAAAAAAAAACCAATATTAAATATCATATTAAATTACATATTACTTAATTGATATAAACCTGATAGCCTCAGAATAATTAATTAACATCTATTTAGTTATAATGTATTAAATTAATTATTACTTAACGTCTATTTGATGGGTCAACCAGGTCCATATCAAAGGAGAATAAAAGCCCAAAGATAGTATTGGATGCATAAAGGAAAATTAAAGAATAGGCTTACAGGTATGTTCCTTAGGCGGGACTAAATGTTATGGATCCATGGGAGCCCATTTGTATATACAGTCGACAATGCATAGAATTGCACCTGTATTCAGAAATTAATCCAGTCTCGGAAGCTACAGAATCGCACCTGCACTCTTAAATATAAGTGTTAGATCCGATAAAACCAACAGAAATTAGTCCTTTAGTTTAGCAAAACTAATTAATTAATTATCATGGTTTCAAAAACTATATATTTAATTTCAAATCTATTTATAACTTAATCCTTTTCATCTATTTTTTTCATATTTTTTGTTTTTTATTTTTTATTTATAAACTAGCAGGACTAAGTTATTTATTTAATTA